AGAGAGCTCAGATGGTTTAACTTATGCTTTCTTCCAGGCGTTGCTTGTATGTGCTGGCCAACCTAGCTTCCCTTAGATTGACTTAGACTCCCTTAGGCTTACTCACTTCCTTAGATTAACCAACACTTGCCAATTTACACCTCTTTTTACATATGACCTTTGCAGTTTGGCCTATTATATTTCAAGAAATTTTATCTGTTTTTCCATTCTCTTTGTGATTCTTCTACAAAAGACAATGGCTGAGATATGTACTCTTATGAGCAGGAAAAAAAACTGAAGTCTGATTAGAACTGACCAGCCCAATTTTTCTTCCTCTGGAGAACATTGCCATAAAAGATTATTATTAAAAATTTGGCAGAACTTGCTCTTCCACTTCAATTTCCTTGGGTCCTCAGAGGGTCCTTGCCTTGATTCTTTTTATGTATGTGCTTTGCTAGAGTGAATTCAGCTAAGATATGTCTAGCTGCCCTGTCTTTGCCCAACTCTACAAATCAGCTTGGACACATAAAACACTCCATAGTGCAATTAAAAACTCAGAGTTGCCTCTAGACAAGATGGGTGGCATATAAATATAATAACTAACTAAATAAATAAACGTTAATAGTATTTGCTACTTTGCATGCATTATTATATTTGACATTAGTTTACTCATGTTTACATTATATTTCAGGCTTGTTTTCTTCCCCTATTTAAATTTCTCAGATATACAGAATGTTATTTTTCCTTTCTCATTAACAATACTTCCTTAAAAGTTGCAAAACTGAACACATCTGCTCTTCAGCTATCTTAGTAATTAAGGCTGAAATTTACCAACTGATTCATCTGAAAGCTATTTAGTTTGACCAAGCATCTGTCCTTTTGTATTATTTCTAACTTCACTGTGCCAAAATACAAGTTGATCTTATATTCTTTTGTGATACAATTCAGATTTTACAGGGATGTGCCTTATATTTCCTTCAATAAATCCTCATAAGATTTTTTTAGAAAAAAAATCTTATTTTTTTTAGAAAAAAAATCTTATTTTTTTTAGAAAAAAAATCTTTTATTTTTATGGGGGTGGGGCGCTACATTTTGACATAATGGAAGATTGCTGTTTTTGTATCATCAGTTTTTGTTTCCACTAGAATTCCACTTAACTTACAGTCATAAGGGAAACTAGAATTTCCTAAGCAAGGTTGTTGAATCACACATAATTTTAAAATTATTTTTTATGGTTGTTAAATGAATCATGGCAGTTAAGTGAAATGTGGTCACTTTTCCCTACTTTTTGGAAGCTGGCTGAGAAGGTCATAAATGATAATCATATGTGCTCAGCATGCTGCAACCGTTATCAACACATACCAGTTGTCAGGTGTTGACTTTTGATCCTATGACTGTAGCAATGCTGTGATGTTCATAAGTGCAAGTCGTAAGTTACTTTTCTCAATGCTATAACTTTGTAACTTTGAATGATTGCTAAATAAATGGTTCTTAGTTGAGGACTACATATGCTGAATAAGGATATAATATTTTCATTTATCATAGTGATAGTAGAATAGTTAAATTTGTGATCTTGATTTGCTCATTTCTCTTGAGATACATTGCTACATTGTTCATTTTATAGAATATTGTATATATTATATTAATTGTATTCTGAAAAGACGGGCAGTTTGGTTTAGGGTTAAGGCACCAGGCTAGAAACCAATACATTGAGTTCTAATGCTGCCTTTGGCATGAAAGCCAGCTGAGTAACTTTGGACTAGTCATTCTGGCTGAGACCCTGACATGATGGTTGAACAATAAGCCGCTTGGTCAATTTCTGTGACAACCTGTGGATTAATACTTGGTTGATCCAAATAAAAAAGCAGATTTGCACTTGTAAGAAAATGGTAAGAAAAAAAAAACTATAGCCTGAGAAGTTTGAATAAATGCATATGATGTCATTTTGGACACAAATACATCACATACCTTTGATTTCTAATTGCTATATATATTCAAAGGGAATACAACTGTGAATATAACTTTATCATCACTCCAAAAGAATAGTACATATAAAACAGTAAATAAATGCAGTAAAAATGGTTTAGACAATCCACTTTTTCCATCTTATCAATTTAGAGCTGACATTCCAATTGAAATCCAACTGTCCTCACATTTAATACTGTCATGGTCACATGATCAAAACCCACATATTTGGCAACCACTACGTATTGTGATGATTGTACTATCCTGTGTTATTTACTGTTACCAACAAGAAAAGTCAATGGGTGAGGCCATATTCACTTAATAACTATATGATTCACTTAATGACCATGGTAATATGTTTAATGATCCCAGTAAAAAAAGTTGTAAAATTGGAGCCATATCACTTAACAACTGCTTCATTTGGCAATGAAGTTCCAGTCCCAATTATGTTTGTAAGTGGAGGACTACCTGTATGTGTATATATATTTGATGCAATATATAAGTGGCTGAGCATGCCTGTCAAGTGCCACCCTTCAAAAATGTACAGACCAGGAAACAAAAACAATTGAATTAATAACTGATTGTTTATTAGCAGTAGTCTTTATATATTTGTTTTGCGCAACTATCCTATCCTAACTCATATATCCTATCTTCTCCTATCTTTTATCATTTCCTATTTCCTATCATCTCCTATCTGTCAACCTAACCTAATCTATCCTATCCCATCCAATCCTACCCTAATCTACCTTACCCTAGCCTATCTTTTATATTCTTTCGTCTTGTTCCTCATCTCTTCTTCCCCCTCCACTCCCTTCTTCTCTTCTCTCCATCCCATCCCTATCTGCTATCTTCTAACATATCCTATATCTTATCATTTCCTATAATGTCCTATATCTTATCCCCTATCTTATCTCCTATCACCTATGCTGTTCTGCCCTGCCCTGCCCTGGCTTGTCCCATCCAGTCTCACCCCACCCCATTTCCACCTATCCCATATCATCTCCTCCTTCTAATTCACAGTGTACGTGGAGGAGGAAATTATGTCTTTCTATCAGATAAATACAGCATGTAGAGATAGATAGACAATGACAAATGGATGTCTCCCTCACTTCTCTAAACATTTTTGTTCATTTGTGGATGAATGCATAAACTATCAACAAAGGATTTGATAAAATACCAATAATCAACCCACAGTTTACTAAATTCACTGATTTTACATCAACATAATCATCCCAAGCATTATAGTTAATGCAGGTAGTATTAGCCAATACATCAACATTTTACTAGAGGAAATTCACTGTGAAAAGTAACATGAATAATTTACCCAAAGAAGTACATGAAGAGAACAAGCATTATGAATCTTTTGACACTGTTTCTATGAAAGCTTTTGACAGATGGTGTAACAGTATTTCTTCATATCAGAACAGCTAGCAATTAAATACATGCCTGCTCCTTTTGGCTCTGGCAACCTGTATAGAAGAAATGGTGTGTTTAGCGGGTGAAGTTTTTTTTACTAATCTGAAATAACTATGCCCGATTTTTAGATACTTAAGGTAGTCTAGTTACAATAGCAGCCTGACATAAATAAGTGAATTATACAAGCTTGCCTTATACATTTCAACTTTAAAATTAAAGTTAAAAACATCATCATTTTTAATAGAATTTAAATGAATTTCCAAAATGTATTCTTGATCTATATACATTTCATGAATATAAAATATGACTTTAGAATATAGAAATATTGTGGTTATTCAGCTCACAATACATCATGCTCTAAAAGTCCTCGAGGTTGTTTTTTTAAAGCTCCAAAACATGTATAATTAGCTATAACCAGGGATATGGCAATTTTCGCTTTCCACAAGTTTCCACTGTGCAGAATTTTATATACAACACTTTCTCCCTTAAGAATGACATATTCTGGATTTCCCAGGACCACAGTATAAATAATATATATTTAAGAATAATAAGGCTGTCTGCTTTTAGGGGTGCAAATGAATGTCTGTGCTGCAACACTTTATAACAGTGGTGAGCTAATCTGTCACTTACTGAACTGTGGTGAAACTAATATTAATAATGGCATGTTGGTTCACTTTGGCAGAAAACCTAATAGGATCTTGGAACACTTTTCAATCCTCAGATGACTCAAATGTATTTTATAAATTCTTGATAATAAATACAATGCTTGCAACACCAGACAATCACTTGGAAACTATAAGTGTAGAAATGGAAGCCCACAAAAATAGTTAAATAAAAATGTATTCAGATTGGCTTATTTTAAATTCAGTTTTCTGTTACCAATCTAAGGTTTTAAGCAACATATCCTTGGCAAGGCTACTAACATGAAATAGGCATGCAATTTTATAAATATTTCCTAATAGATGCAATAGTTGCAATACCATAAAACCACTTGAAAACTATAAACACATAAGTACAAGAACCTTTATACAACAAGCATTTATTCACAATGACTTTATCCTAAATAGTTTCTTCCAGTACATTTTTATAGGATACCATATGATGAGCCAGGTTGAAGAAAAGTACCTCTTATTGCTTTGACACCAAGTTATGACAATTCGGTCTAGTGGTTAAGGTGCTGGCCTACGAACCAGGAAATCATGAGTTCCAGTCCTTCCCTAAGGATGAAAAAACAGCTAGGTGACTTTGGATCAGTCAATCTCTTTCAGTCCAACCCACCTCACAAGGTTGTTGTGGGGAAAGTAGGAAGAGGACGGAGTATTAGGTATGTTAATTGCCTTGCATTATTTATAAACAATAGTAAAGATGAGATAAAAATCAAGTAAAGGTTTCTTTTCTCTTTTCAACAGGACATAAGGACCAACTGATAGCTCTTACCAGAGATCTGAGTGGATCTTCTGAATATATCCCAGAAATTAATCATAGGCCCATCAAGCCCTAGGGGCCATAGGTTGCTTATTTCCCATTTTAAGTGATTAAAAAGATAAGGAGTGAGCACCTGCCGTTGCTTTTTCCCCTGATAAGAGATGTGTGGCCATTTACTGATGGTGTTCTTGTTTGTTTGCATGTTCTGATTAAAGGTAAAAGTTTGGTTCCAGAACAGACGGATGAAATGGAAACGGGTAAAAGGAGGGCAACAGGGAGCTGCAGCCCGAGAGAAAGAATTGGTAAACGTGAAAAAAGGCACTCTGCTCCCATCAGAGCTTTCTGGCATTGGTGCTGCCAGTCTCCAACATACAGGGGACTCCCTGGCAAATGACGACAGCCACGACAGTGATCATAGCTCTGAGCATGCACACTTATGATAAGGCAGGAAGGAATCCTAGGTCTGTTCTCAGGAAAGCCATGTTTAACACAGCGAGCTTATGTGGACATTGATATATGCAAGTGACTGACTTTCTGACAATCAAAACGAAAGTAACTTAGGACTTACTATTTCTGCTACTCTTGAACTATTATTATTATTATTATTATTTGTGCTTATATTCAGTAAGTGCCATGCCTCCCATGTGCCTTGTGAGTAGAAGCAGGAGATACATTTGCTTTTCAACATTCCAGATTCACTTGTCCTTTCAGTGACAATGGAGCAGATATTGTTGCTTTAGCTTGCATCAAACAATGACGTTGCTTTCCACACAGTGCCAACAGAAACACTGTCTCAAGAGGATAAGAATTGTATTTTAATTTGTATATATCTACTTTTCAGCATTTTTACTTTTCACTCATTTTTAGCAGTGCATTCATATTCGCTGACTGCAATAGTCACCCATGAGAATAAATGGCTTTTTAAAATCTTTTTTTAAAAATTTTGTGTTTCAGAGTTGTAGAATACATGCAGACATTTGCATTCACATAACAAATAGTATAAATGAGTCTGCTAGTTGAAATCCTTATACCATAGACAAAACAAATTTTATGTTGCATTTACTATCAACTGCTGCTAATGGGAAATTATTAAACCTTGTTCCTCAAATCTTCTTACTTTCTAAAAGCAAAGTTTTGCTAACAGCAAAAAAATATTCTTTAAAAAAAAAGAAGAATCATGCCTATTATGAAAAGAAACGAAATCTTGATTAATAATTGAAATTTATTACTACAGTAATATAACAGGCATATGATTCTTATAGCTGGATATTATTCAGAGTAGTACCAGTACATCTAATAAAGCTGCTTCAAAATGAATTGTGAACAGTATTTTCTTACAAATGAGAAAGTTGTTACCTTCCATTATTTTGTGTTAGTAATCAGATATTAATTTTCCAATATTAAGTATTCAAATTAATAAGGCAAAGTTCTCTGTGTAATGATCAAGTTTTATTAAATATGTTTGTGCATAGAACACAAAAAATAAGGATATTTTCTGCCCTTTTTTAAGCTTTTGTGTATATACAATGAAATAGGAACAATCCAAAATTTTAAACAAAACATTGATTGTACTTTGTAAAGGAAATGCTTAATAAATATTCCTTTTGAATAAGACTTGTTCTTCTTTAGAGTTTTATGGACAACTCAAAATATTAGAAACATAATATTCTCTCTATGTTTGCATTGTACAAATGGGGCACTTTATATTGGATAAAGCTTGATACAGTGGGGAAATTCTTCCCTCTAATAGGAAAAAGCAATCCAAAGGAAGCCTTTCGCCAAGAACAACATGGACTATGTTAAACTATTTTACCAGATTTACCAGATGAGAAATGGATATTTTTCTTGCACCTACTTTCTGGAAATGGAAGGAGGGAAATGGCAACTTTAAAACATGGTGTAAATTAAACAATTATATATTATGATCACAAATACTCAAAAAGACATAAGCCATCCAACATTTTTAAAGAAATGTTTGAAAGGATTTATTTTAAAGAAAATAAATTTTAATAAATAAATCCTACATGTAATTTAGCACTAATAATAATGTAATATCCCATATCATAGAACTTGTCAGAAGAATAATTTGGGGTTTCAACTTGAGCTGGGGCTACTCAAGATTAAATAAAAAAAGAGATCCAGACAGTTCTGAAGAAGAAACATTTATTCCTAAAAGCAATGAGTTTGCTTTTAGGTGCAGCTGCAGAGAAATGGGGTACAGCAACCCAGTTTTAATAGGGGAGCTTGTCCTTGGTGTGGAAATATCAACATGCTGATTTTAGGGTGATGGGTGTCGGTGTCTGTATCTGTATGTCTCTGATGTTTCTTGCTTGTAAACATGCAGTTCTGCTGGGAGTCCTAATTTAATTAACACTCTTTATATTTACAGACCTATCCTTTGATATGTGGTTTAGGATTAGGTAATTTATATTAAAGGTTTGTGGAAGTTTGAGTAAAAGATTCCTTTCCCCCCCTTTTGCTATTTTTACTTCATTAACTTAGTTTCATCTTGACTGTCAATGAGTGGAGATGCTGATTCTAAGTCCATTGCGGATTCTGTTAAGGTTTTAAAAAAAGATGGAAACAGTATAAAAAATAAAATATATTTTGATATAAAACTACTCACAATTGTCCCCTTGTTTAGGTAGAGTGGTCCATTAGTTAACATTGTTAGGGGGAAAGCAACAGCTCTGCAATCCTATGTTCTGTGGACTGATAAATTATTTTGGGAGGGAAATAATTTGAAAGGGTGAATAAAAGACCAATTATCACACTCTGTTACATCCAGTTTTTCCTGAGTTTCATTTCAGGGTGGATTCATTTATAGTCTTGTTTTGCCCATATACATTGTTGATACATGGTACATCAATAATAATAGCATATAAAAGCATGCCAATAATTACAAACATACAAATGAATATCCAGTTTTGTCCCTCTATATCCCCCTTTTCCATGAGTCCCAGTGTAAACCCAATCAACTCAATTGCTCTTCAGTGGTGACAATCTGGTAGGTTGGTCTTGGCATCCGTGGTGATCAGCAGGAAGAGACACAGTAAGACATCAGCAGGCAGTTTGGTTGGTGAAAGCTAACCAAATCCAATGCTGTTTAATTTTCAGTAGCTTAGAGAACTTTTCCTGAAGTAACTGCAGTTTTTCCTATTAGAGTCTACTGATTGTTACAATTGTTAGCATTATTGTGAGGGGGCCAGGATCCCATTAACACTCACCATACATCTATAACACAGTAGAGCCATGCCTGTTATTAAGTATCCATTCATGTTGCACATTGATGATATTGGGCATTTTTCAGATCTATTACTGTAGTTTTCAATTATGTCCACCAGCAGGAAAGCACAGTCTGCTTACCACATATGGGGTGTGCAAATATTTTCTCTTAGGGAAAGGTTCCCTTGCTAGATAGATTGGATGAGCCTCAACAAATTGAGATTCAAGGTGGCTTAATTTCAACATGAAATAAATGAGCTTCCATTTCCATGGTCAAAGGCCATAGATTAGCAAAAGAATAATTTAAAAATGATCAGTGGTATAACTAATTTTGGCTTTTTTCAACCTCAGAATCTGGTAAGCCTCCTGTTTTGGGCTTTAGTCCTGTTGCCACTCATACTATGATAGGACTATTTGCATTCTGCTATATTGAAGTCTTTAAAGCAAGACTTGATTTGTCTTTTACTTGAAGTATAAAGGTATCTAATGCTTTCATGTTTCTTAATAATTACCCAGCATAAGATCTTGCAAAGCTGGGTGGGTACAAAAGAATATATTTATTAATATCTATTTCTATGTTGCTTCCCAAGGCAAGAATGGGACACATTTTTTCATGTTTCAGATAAACTATTGTTTAATCAAATACTGCTTTCCCTCCTCCCTTTTCATCCTTGCCAAATGTCATGTTAAAGGACAAAGATAAAACCCAATACCTTGCTGTCATGACCCATTTAGGATTTTTTTTAAGGTAAAACACATGTAGAAGGTAAAAAAAATCACACACCTTTAGATATTTTTCTGACTAGCCCACATGGAGTCAACAATGCTGAAATGTTCCTGGGTAAGATAGTTGATGGATTTACTGATAGAGGATGGAATGCAAATTTGTCTTGGAGACAGCACAGCACATTAGATATTTTCGGCATTTTAGGCAACATGCATGCCTATGTTTAGGCAACATGCATAACAGTATGCAGTATACAGTTGGGAAAGCAAAAATGTCCCTTTTTCCTATGGCTGAGAGAAAATGACTTGCCCCAAATCATCAAGCTGACTTTCATGGATGAGGTAAGACTTGAACTCACATTCTTCTATTTTCTAACTTTGTGGTTTAGACTTGGGGTCTCCAAACCCTGGCCTGTGGCCCACTAATGGGCCCTCCCCTATTTGGAATTGGGCCATGCAAGTAGGTGGGTGCTTGTGCTCGCACATAAATCTTTATTCACTCAGAACCATCACTCTTCTCTTCCCTCCCCACTGCTTTACACCAAATTGGTTTTCATCACAAATGTGTTTATTTTCTTTTCCTTGCTTTTAAGAAAAAGGAAAACAGGTTTAGCACTCATTTAGCAACAACTAGTATCATCTTTGTAGTTCCAAGTGCATTATTAAGGATACATCCATATTAAAATACAACAATCACTCACATGCTAGCTTCAGATCTTCTGAATCTCATTTCTTAAACTTTTGTGTTACTTTTAATATGTAGTATAAGCTTTTCTCCTGCTTCTTCTTTTTATCTATCTTTAGCTATCTAGACTACTTTTCTAAAACATGACATTCCTTTCCAGACTCTCCTTCTACATATAGTTACAAATCATTACAAATGTAACTTTCTTACAAGAAAAGCATATACATTTATGAAAATCAAATCTGTAAAAATGGCAACTATGCTTATAGATACATTCCACTCATTTTACTATTCTCTTATTTTCTTAATTTAAATTATAAAATTACAACATGCATGCATAGACAATAACAGTAAAATAGTCCCATTTTCAATTTACTGTGCCTTTTCAGGAGCAACTGGACTTGTTTTTTCTTTAAGACATTTCACTTTTCATCCAAGAGCTTCTTTAGTTCTAAAATGCAAATGACCAGCTGTCTGCAAGGAATATAAATCCTTCCATTCCCCACTATCCTGTCAGAGCTGAAGAAGCTTCTTGAATGAGAAGTGAAATGTCTTTAAAAGAAAAAACAAGAAAGTTCACTTGCCTCCTGAAAAAGCCCCTTTGGGACATTAGTATGCTCAATAACAACTTTTCCATAAAATAGTTCAAGGTCTGTTTTTTTTAATTACAAATGGAAGTACCTCTGTTTTGCCAAATTAAATTAAATTAGACTCATCGCATATATTGCTCACATATATATTTTTTAAAAATAAATTATGTGCTTTCCCTTTTTTTTATTCCTGCCTAAACCCAAACATCCAGCAATCTTCCTACTGGAGAAATTAGGGAAACATGTGAAACATGTTTCCTTTTCCCTACCTCACATGTGTGTCCCTATCAGTTTGGGGTATATACATACACTGGAGAAGATCTCCTAAGTGAGATAATAGCCTTCTTTCTTTAGCAGCCAGTCAGTTTTCAAGTCTTTCTCTTGGAAGGAATGCGATATTTGAAGCATTCTGGGAAACTCCATCCCACCTATCACTTTGTGAGTGGAACGCCTTATTTGGAGGGCTTTTTATTAAGAAGTATGAGCACGTCCATATCCATATCTATATAATATATCTATATAATATCTGCCTACCTACCTACCTACCTACCTACCTACCTACCTACCTATCTACACCCCCCCCCACACACACTTTCTGAAGAGTTTGGTTGTTAAATTTGGATCCTACCACTTGCATACATTCAAAGTATAGAGGAAAAGAAGGAAGGAAAAAACTCACGGAAACGCAATTCATTAATTCAAAAACTAAAAA